TATACTTGTCTCTTTGGGATATGCATCTTGTGTTTGTGAACTCAAGTCTAAAAGCCCAACAGGATACATGACATCACTGGGGTCAATGAAAATTTATTAAACTCTGATGTTTAGTTGTCTGGGAAGTGAATTTGTACTAGGTTTGGGTCTCTGATCCTGTGTCCCTCCCTGTCCACAGAGCCCACAACAGTGTTTGCCAAGGAGCAGCCAGTGCAGAGTGAGTTGCGGGCTGAGGCAGGGACCAGCACTACACTGAGCTGCAAAGTGGCCCAGACACAGACAGAGGTGACATGGTACAAGGATGGAAAGAAGCTGAGTGCAAGCTCGAGGATGCGCATGGAGTCTACAGGCCATGGGCGGCAGCTGGTACTACAGCAGGCGAGCAAGGCGGATGCCGGGCAATATACCTGTGAGGCTGGGGGCCAGAAGGTTTCCTTCCACCTGGATGTAACAGGTAGGTGACCATTATAATGCTTTGGTTAAGGAAGATGATTGGACTGACTTACTGCCTGACTGGATCCTGGAGTCCTCTATCCTTAGCTTTCATGGCTTCTTATCTCCCATCCTCTTACCATCCCATATTCCTGCCTATGGCTGGGAGCAAAGGAGGCTTTCTTGGAAGGATGTGTACTAAAGGGAGAGAGTCTGATCTTCTTCCCCTCAAGTGGTGTTTCCAGGCAAGAATAGTTAGTCACATGTTCTCAGAGCCTACCCTGAACCCTCCTTGTTTTTGGTTTCCAGGACTCTGGTTATGTCTGGTACTTGGGGTCTGAGGTAGATCATGTATCTCACACCTGGGGTGGGTGAATATCCTCCTGTTGGAAGGTCTGGCAGCTTGTACATGGCTTCATGAGGCACCATATGGGCTTCTAATTAACAAGAGACGATTGAATCACTTTGAGGCAGGGGAGAGGTGACTTCAGTTACCCAGTCATATTGGCATTATCTAAGGCTGATCTTTGCATGGTTATAGTTTGGGTGCTCTGGTGACTGTTGCTTTCCTTTGACATAGATATGGAAGCCCTCTGTGCATATATGCACAAAATCTAAGTCCACATGTTGTTGTAAGGTCTGTGCAAAATAAATGAAGACTGGGGAATTGATAGGCGTGCTGCTGTGAGATTTAGGGCTCTCTTTTTAAAGGAAATTGTATTTTCCCTTTGTCTTCAGTTAGAATATTCTGTGTGAAATTTCCCTTGGAATTTGTGACATATCTTTGTGAATGGAAAGGAATTGATAGCTTCTGCCACATCAGCATGCTTTGTTAATGATGAATTACTATAGTGGCATTCCATGGTTGGTAACCAAACCAAACCAAAACCACTTCCCTAAAGTTGATTGCAACTCATAGTGACCATAAGGCACAGAGTAGAACTGCCCCATAGTGTTTCTAAGGCTGTAAATCTTTACAGAAGCAGATTACCTCATCCTTCTCTCCTTCAGAGTGGCCAGTGGGTTTGAAGTGCCAATGTTTAGGTTAGTAGCTGACTGGGTTAACCACTATGCAACCAGATTCTTCTGACTGGTAAAGCTGTATTTATTTCATAGCAGCCACTTAATAATCAGTGTGTGTCTGTACCCCGTTGCTGGTTCATAGTGAATGCCGAGAATGAATTTTATTTTCCTTTTTGTGAGAGCCTTGACCTCAAATTGGGCCTCCATTTTCACACTTGAGCAGTAGGGGTCATGATGAATATTTTCATATTGTATCAGTATATGGTAATGATTGTGGATATAGATACCAAATACCCTGATATCTCTTGAACATTATTGTAACAGAATATTACCAATTATTTTATAGATATAATTTTGAAAAGTTTGGATAGATTGACTATTTCCTGGAAAACCTTTGACTTGAGAAGAAATAGGCAAATCAAGCAGTCCTATAACCATTAAAACAATGGACCCAGTAAAATCTTCTTACAGAGCAAAATGTAAGCACACATGTACTATTCTGGAAAGAAATTATTCCAAGTTTATGGAGAGCCTTACAGAGAATACAGAAAAAAATAGTACATGTTTCCACTCATTTTATGCAGCTAGCATAACAGTGATACCAAAATATGAGAAGGTAAATATGAAAAATTAAAATTACAGGCCAATATCTTCTGGGTATGAAAGCCAATATCCAAAAGAAAAATTTGGCAAAGTGAATTTAGCACTATATTAAAGGGATAAGGTATTATAACCAAAGTAATTGTTTAGGAATGCAAATTTGTTTCACCATTTAAAAAAACCTCACTGCCATTAAGCTGATTTCAATTCATAGCAACCCCCATTAAGTTTTCGAGGCTGTAAATCTACAGAAGTAGATTGTCCCATCTTCCTTCTGCGGAGAGGTTGGTGGGTTTGAACCTTCTGGTTAGCAGCCAAATGCATTAGAAATGTTATAAAATCAATATAAACTATGAAATCAGCATATTACTAGAGAAAAACAACATGATTAAAGGAGCTCTGGTGGTATAGTACCTAAGCCATTTGACTGCTAACCAGAAGGCTGGCAGTTCACAGCCACCAGCCACTTCTTGGAAAGAAGATTGGGCAATCTACTTCTGTAGAGATATGGCCTCAGAAACCTGAGGAGGGGTCACTATGAGTCGGATCCGACTTGACGGCAGTGAGTTTGTTTTTTTTGGTTTATTAAATAAATGCAGAATACAAGTGCTTGGATAAAATATCATAAATCCAGAATCAGGGTTTAATAAAATTTAGCATCAATTCATGGTAAAGAACTTTTACCAATCCAGAAATAAAAGGCTATTTCCTCAATTTGATAAAGAAGAACTGATGCTTTGAATTGTGGTGTTAGTGAACAGCCAGAAGCAAAAACAAATCATCCTTAGAAGAAATACAGCCAGAATGCTCCTTAGAAAGAAGGATGGCTAAAGTTCATTTTGCTTTCTTAGGACACATCAGGAAAGGGCAAATTCTAGAAAAAGACACTCAATAAGATTGACACAGTAGCCATTCCAATGGGCTCAAATGTTAAAGATCATGAAGATGATGCAATACAAGGCAATGTCTCAGTCTGTTATATGTAGGTCACCGTAAGTCAGAGCTTACTCAATGACAACTAACAAGAACAACAAAACTACAGAAAATGTAAGAAAGTTTGTACTTCAAGTCAGCACCTGAACACTTTTCCTTTAAAATGGGAAGAATACATGACTGCCCACTGTCACCGCTTCTATCTACCATTGTACAGCACAGTAAAGAGATAGATGAAATAAAGGGTAAGTTGGAAAAAATTAAGGTGTCATTCACTGATGATATGTTTATAAATATAAAATTGCCAAAAGATAAATTATTAGCAGTAGTAGGAGTTGAGAATATTGCCTCACACAAAATAGATATACAAACACACATCATTGTCTGTATACTAAAACCAAAACCAAACCCACTGCCATTGAATCAATTCCAACTCATAGTGACCCCCATTGGGTTTCTGAGGCGATAAATTTTACAGAAGTCAATTGCCCAGTCTTTCTTGTGTGGAGTGGCTTGTGGGTTTGAACTTCTGGTAAACAGTCAAATGCCTTAGGCATTGTGCCACCAGACATCCTGTATACTAGCAACAAGCAATTGGAAATTAAAATTTTATAGAATGGTAATACTATCAGAGGTATCATGTTTCTATTTCCAAGTTTAGCAAGAGATATTTAAGGCTTTCATGGGGGTGTTATTAAGCATTTTTGAGAGCTAGTAAAGAAGATGTAAATAAATAATGAAAAATTCATGGTAGATGCAAAGATGTTCATTCTCAATCAAAATCCAAACAAAAGCCTTTTTGTTTGAAATTGGCATGCTGATATCAAGGACAAACTATGGCCATTAAACTCTTGAAGAAAAGCAAAGTCAGAACATTTGCCAGATACCAAGACCTATAACGTTACAGTAATCAAGACAGCAGGGTCTCAGTGCAGGGACAGATAAACAGACCAAAGGAACTCTGATACAGACCTTTCTGTAACTGGACTCCCCCATCCCTACTTTATCATTATTTTTTTACAATGATGCCTGTGAAAAGAATTAAGAAAGGAAGGTCTTTTCAAATATGTGGTTGGCTCATTTAACCATATGCAAATAAATAAAATTGAACCACTACCTCCCATTGTAGACAAAAATGAACTAATGAGTGGTTTAGTCCTCAATGTGCAAGGTAAAAGAAAGTTCTTAGAAAACATAGATTTTTAATGACTTGTGGGTAAGGAAAGATGTCTTAAGAGAACAAAAGAATGCATCAATCCCAAAAACATAATGGATATAGTTGTCTACTATTTATATTGTATGTATACATTGACTACTAAGAGCTTTCAGTCATCAGAAGACATCGTAAAGAGTGAAATTGTAAGCTGCACTGGTAAGCAAGATGTTTATGGCACATATAACTATGAGTGTCCCAGCCTTGAAATATATGAAGATCTCTAAGAAATGAATATAAAAAAGGCAGATAGTGTTATTGAAAACTGGGTAAATATTTCAACAGTGACACCATAGTAGAGGAAACAGAAATGGCCAATAAACATTGAAAAGGATCTCCCCTGCTATAGTCATCATGACAACACAAAGGAAAGTCCTGGGTCTGTAGAGCCACAAGCCCAGCCAGTAGCCGGGAGGTAGCAATCCTTACAAACCAAGAGTAGGGTCAACTGTGGAGCACCAGGACTCCCCTGCACTGCTGGTGGGAATGTTCCTGGTGCTGCATTTTGGAAAAGCCTGTGGCATTTTCTGGTCAGGTAAAAGTTGTACAGACTGTGCAGTCTTCTAGAGAAATTGTGCACAGAGAAGTCTCAGAAAGTGTTCCACCAGAAAACACCTCCCATGCCATCAGTAGTAGGAGGTATAAATGCACTGCTGTGAGTTGTTGCTCAGAAAGGTCTGGGGCCACTCCGGGTCACAGAGCTAGAGGGGGAGCCTGGAGTAGCTTCTGGATCTCTTGTTTAGTGCTATCTTCTTGCCTTCAGTGGCATCTCTGACTGCATGTCCCTCCTTGTTCTCAGAGCCTGTGATGGTTTTTGCCAAGGAGCAACCAGCACGGAGTGAGGTGCAGGCTGAGGCAGGAGCCAGTGCCACGCTGAGTTGTGAGGTGGCCCAGGCCCAGACGGAGGTGGCGTGGTACAAGGACGGGAAGAAGCTGAGTGCGAGCTCGAGGGTGCGCGTGGAAGCCACAGGCCGTGGACGGCGGCTGGTGGTGCAGCAGGCGGGCAAGGCGGATGCTGGGGAGTACAGCTGTGAGGCCGGGGGCCAGAAGGTCTCCTTCCGCCTGGATGTTACAGGTGGGTTCCTGAGATCTCTGTTTTTTCCTGAGGCACATGACGAGGCAGTGGTTTGGGAGATGCTCTTCAAGGCCTGTTTTCTCACAATGCTCTTCACATCCCAACCTTTGACATAACCAGCTGCAGCCCCAGCACTGTTCACCAATGTACTCTTCTCTCCAGCAAGCTCCTTATGGGGGGGGGGGGGGATGCCGGAATATTGCTCTTACATCTGCATCAATCCAGTCCCTTCACTGTTCCTGGCCTCAGGGTCTCTGCTCCTACCCAGACTCATCCTGGACATGGGTACCTCCTCTTCTAGAACATCCAGAATCCAGTCTTATCCCTCTGTGTCCTTAGTCACCACTGTTGATTGAGTCCACTTTCACTCCAGCTACCTGAGTGATCATGGTCATGTGCAGATGGGCTTGGCCTTCCCCTGCTGGAACCCTCTGTGGTCCCCCTGCACTTGGGATTCAGTCAAAGGCTTTGCTTGTCCCTGAGGCCTTGTCCTGCACACATCTCCCTCTTGTCTACAACATTCCAACCAAACTTGCTTGTTTATTTTTGTTCATCATAACCTCCTATTGTCTTTGTGATTTTACTTTTAAAACTTTATTTAGAAATAATAATGGATTTAGAGGAAGTTGCAAAGACAGTACAGACAGAACTTAATGCTCCTCACCCAGTTTATTTCAATGGTCACATCTTTCATAATTGTGGTACAATATCAAAAGCCAGACACTGATAGTGTGTAATGCAGATGTATAGTACTGCGTCACCTACCACATGTGCAGACTCATGCAAATGTCACTTCACATGAGATACAGGACATTATATCACCACAAAGATCTGCCTCGTGCTGCCCCTCATGCTCACACCTACCCTCTCCCCAACACCTCACTAACTCCTAGCAGCCAGCAATCTGCTCTCCATCGAGGCAATTTATCATTTTGAGAATGTTATGTAATGAAACCATGCAGTGTGTACCCTCTACCTACTGGCTTTTTTCCCTCAGCATGATTCTATTGAATCCATCAGGTTGCTGCATGAATCACTAGTTCCTTTGTATTGCTGAGTTGTTTTCCACAGCGTGGATGCACTGCAGTTTGGTTGTTTGTTCACCTGATAAAGGATATCTGGGTTGTTTCCAGGTGTTGGCTATTGTGAGTAAAGCTGCTCTGAGCAATCTGGGTTAAGCTCTTGTACAGACATACATTTTTTATTTCCAGAATAAAATGTCCAGAAGTGTGTTTGCTGGGTCATATGTATTTTGATGTTTAGTTTTGTAACAAACTGCCATACTCTTCCAGAGTGGCTTTGCCATGTTATACGCCACAGCAATGTATCTTTGACATTTAGTATTACCACTAATTTTTTATTTTAGCTCTTCTAGTGAGTATGTAGGAGTTCTGGTGGCGTAGTGCCTAAGGCATTTGACTGCTAACCAGAAGACTGGCAGTTCAAACCCACCAGCCACTCTTTGGAAGGAAGAGTGGGCAATCTACTTCCATAGAGATACCACCTTGGAAACCCAGGGAGAGATCGCCATGAGTTGGAATCAACTCGATGGCAGGGAGTTTTTGTTTTGTTTTGTTTTTTAGTGAGTATATAGGCCACTCCTCGGAAGGAAGGTTGGGCAATCCTACTTCCGTAGTGATACTGCCTCGGAAACCCAAGGAGGGGTCGCTATGAGTCAGGTATGACTCGACGGCACATAACAACAACATAGGGTACCTCACTGTGGTTTAATTTACATTTTCATAATGGCTAGTGATGTTGAATTTCTTTCATGTGTTGTATTTCCTTTCTGTGTATCCTCTTTGTTAAAAAGTCTCCTCAGGTCTTTAGCCTGTTTTCTACTTGGATTTCTTCTTCTTTTAACTGTTGAGGTTTGTGACTTCCCTATATAGTCTAGACACTAACATAGTCTAGACACTAATCCTTTGTCAGGTATGTTGTTTGCAGATACTTTCTCCTATTTTGTAGCTCGTCTCTGATTCTCTTAACAGAGTCCTTCATAGAGCAGAAATTTTCGATTTTGATGAAATCCATCCAGTTCCTCTATTTTTCCTCTATAGATTGTGCTTTTAGAGTCATGTCTAAGAACTCTTTACCCAATCTTAGTTCCAAGGATTTTTTCCCAATGTTTTCTTCTAAGAGTTTTATAGGTTCACATTTTATTTTAAAATCTATGATCCAATGTGAGTTAATTTTTATATAAGGTATGAGGTTTAGAGGAGCTCTGGTAGCATAGTGCCTAAGGCACTTGACTGCTCACCAGAAGGCTGGCGGTTCAAACCCACCAGCCACTCCTCGGAAGGAAGGTTGGGCAATCCTACTTCCGTAGTGATACTGCCTCGGAAACCCAAGGAGGGGTCGCTATGAGTTGGGGCCAACTCGACGGCAAAACAACAACAACATGAGGTTTAGGGGGAGGTTCATTATTTTCCCTTGTCTTTTTAAATTTTAAATTCATTTTTAAGACTTTTATTGAACTATAACAATCATGCAGATCATACTGTGTTTTAAATGTCAGTTGGATCTTTAGTATTGTCCCCTCCTTCTTTCCTAACATTGCAAATTTGTGCATTCTCTCTCTCTGTCTTCTTTTTCTTTGAACATTCTGACTAGATATGCGTGTCATTCTTTTGGATTTTATTATCATTTCCTTAGAACTGATGCAGCTTTTGTTCATTTTTTTCTTTACTTCCCTCCTTTTCTCCTGCTCTCCCTCTTCTTTCCTCCCTTCTTTTCTATCTTTGCCTTTTAATCCCCTCCCCTCTTTGTTTTGTTCTCTCCTTCGCTTTAGTCTGGATGTTTTCTATCAACCTATCTTCAAGTTCACTAATTGTGAACATCTCACTTGCTGTCTATTCTGTTGATAGCATCATTATTTAAGTTGCTGTATATTTCATGTTTGAGAAATTCCACTTAATTGTTTTGTTTCTCTTTTAAAAATTATTATTATAGTTTTTGGTGAAAATATGCCCAGAAAAACATCTGCTGCTTCAACAATTTCTACATATATAATTCAGTGACATTGATTATATTCATGGATGATGCCATGCATCCAGTCTTATTATTACTAGTATTTTAACATCATTAACATAATCTCACTGCCCCTAAGCTTTTCATACAGCCTTTTGAGCTGCTGTTGTCAGCTTGATCACATACAGATAATTCTTTAAAGAGCACAATTCTCAAGGGATACATGTTTTACTAATTAAGTGAGACAGCTTTTGGTTTAAAGAAGACTTTATGGGGATATTTTTGGTTTAAGCTTTCAAGATTATTTCAGGGCAATAGTTTTGAGGGGGTTCATCCAGTCTCCACAGCTCCACAAATGCTGGATTCCTTGAAAACTTGAAGCTCTGTTCCATATTTCCCCACTTTTGATCTGGATTCTTCTGGAGAATCTTTGAGCAAATTTTCAGTAACAGTAGTTCAACACATCCATTCCTGATCTCATGGCATAGGAGGCAGTTGTTCATGGAGGCAATTAGACACACATTCCAGTTCCTCCTACAATTCCTGATTCTCCTTCTTTCTCTGCTGCTGAAGGCACATGAAGACCAGTTGTACCTTAGATGGTGTCTTGCAAGCTTTTAAGACCATAGGCACTGTGGAAGGAATTAGGAGGTAGAATAGAGACAGTAAGAACAACTTTAGGCCAACTGACTTGAATATCACATGAAACCATGACCCTAAACCTTCAAACCAAAAAAACAAATTCCATGAGGTATTTGGTTGTCATAAGCAACATCAGCAGCTGCTCTTTTTTGTTGTTGTCATTATATGT